GAGATATTCAATCGTTCAATTTCGTTTGTGTGCAGACATTCTCGCGCAATGGATAAACAAGCAATTACATCACCGCCACAATCAGCATTAAACGGCTATACAAGAAAAAAAAAACAAAAAAAGGTACAAGTCAATCCGTCGTGAGAGGAAATTCATTGATGATTACAATGAATGGTAACGTTCAAGCTCTACTAGTTGAACAATCAACGACTACGCGTCGCTCATCGCGTTAAACGCACAAGTCGGGCTGAGCGTGTGGGCGGGACTGTCCGCGACACCAGACGGCCCCGCCCACTCGTTCAACGTGCGACCTCTGCCTTCACCACTACAACTGTCAATCAACCAACTGGCTACTGGACACTAGGCGCTAGTTTCGTACGTTGTACGTTACTTACATATGATAAAACCGGGCAACATGAGTGTATGAGAATTCTGTCTTTGCTAGCATGCTACACATAAATATTAGCGTGAGTGAACATTCATATCAAAATTGAAATTTTCGTTGCCGATACCTGGATATCGGGGCCCAAATATACAACCGTAAGCTAGCAAAAAGTGGTACATCCAGAAAAGTGGGCGTGTGGGTGTGATTAATGACACTCGAGCAGTAATTAGTGACGAAGGACGAATCTGGATTGGCTAACATGCACCACAACACACTGACGTCACATGCCTACCGTACTCCACGTAGAATTACGGTATTCATGCGATCACCGTCAGAAGCGCTCATCACTGCGCGCACGCAGCACGCGGCACGCACGCATGGACCATCTGCCCTGATTAGCATGATTCGGCGAGTTACAGGCGAGTCTGAACAAGTAAAAATGCTCAGATCAGACTCGCCTCACATAAAGCACAAGGCCATCGATGTTAGACAATCACAGCTGATGCTATTATTTTGAATTTTTTTTAGAAATATTGATGCTTTGAGAAGTCTTGTGTGTATTTGCACATAGCGCAACTGATTCTACAGCACTACCATTGCTGTCAATTTTCCAATTTTCTTTGAAGATTTGTACAAAAATAGAGTAGTTTTTGTGAATTACCCGTTAAGAATACTGTAATGTAGGAGGATATTCAATCAAGAGACAACACAGGCAGTGAGACATGCATGCAAATACAAATTTAGGGCCATTTCATGGCTTTCAGCTGTTCGCTGGCACTTTTGCGTGAAAGATGCAGCTGAAATGACAGCTCGGGCGTGATCTGTTTCAGACTAAACCTGGCCAGCAACACAGGACGTCGCTGATAGACAGCACCCAGGGGTAGGTAGGCGCTAGAGATGTAGAGGGAGGGGCCCTGACCTTCCGGGAATTCCAGCAAAATGGGTCAAAAAACAGCTGAAGCAAATGAAATGACCTGTGGGCACGCGCATTAATGAAATGGGCTAGGATGAGGTTCTAGTAGAAAGCATGACATTCATCAGGAATCATCTGAGAGCAGGAAAGAAAACAGTCCAGAACTGGAGAAGAAATTCGGTCCGGTTCAAGAACCTTCTCTGAGAGATCCTGATGAATTCGTATTGCTGAATAAGAATACCGGTCTGACATGGATTTAAGGAGAGCTCATATTGCTTGTGCCACAAAGCATTTGGTCAAGCAAATCGGACCGCTACTCTTTTAATATGCGTATAAGAGACGAGAAATGAGCTAAAGCATATGCTGGAACTGTCCTTTGCATGACTGTGGTGGCACTACGATTGCGCTTGTTGCTGTTCCACCTCTGGTGATGATTGTTCTGGATCGTCTATGAAGGGGATTTCGCTGAGAAGCAACGACGACATCGTCATCGACGGTTCACGTGCGCGAAATATCTGAACACACACACAGCCAGCTCACCACAATCGGCTACACCACTATTTATAAATGAATGGCCACAGTAAGGCGCCCGAACTACACAAGTGCATACTATTGTGCATATCATACCTTGATCCCTGCAACGATATTGCGTGCGAACAGGTGTGAGTTCTCAGCTAGAATAGCCTAGCCCCCGTTTGTTGCGGACTTAAAGGCATATGGCACGATTATTCGGTACTCGGTCCAAAATGCTAGCAGGGTGCTGTTTAGTGAGAGAATGGCGAAAAAACGATGTGAAATGGCCAAAAACCTGCGAAGAAAAGCCTTAGTTCTTCACTCAAAAAGCAATTTCGGACGAGTTTCCCGTAGGCATCGTGCCAATAACCGCTACGGTAGATACGGCTGCACGTATGTACTCATATATCCATGCAGCACCGCGGCCGCTTCATATTTTACTTCGCAAATGAAGCAATACAAGCATCAGGTACGGTCGTCCATTTGTGGGCGGGCGGGCGCGGTGGGCGTCCGGGTCGGTATGTTGCAGCTTGATAAGGCATTGTAAGATACCTTTCTTAAAAAGGCCCCACGCGGCGCCGGCTCAGAGGCGCGGAATTCTGTCCCTGCCAGGCGTACTAATCCTATTCGCCTTCGCGATTATGATGCCAACTGCCTTTAAGAAGGCATCCTTGGTTGCGAACAACTTGAACTCAATCCCTATAGCGCCAACTTTCTGTTTTTCTCTGCACTCTCACGCCTGCATGACACTCCTTGAACACTGAGACCGTACACATTCCCACCTTTCACGCACGAAGAGTGGCGCTCGGTGGCTCATCCAACCCTGACGCATTGACAGCCGCAGCCCTCCATTTCTCCACGCTCCAGCCTTCTCGAGGACCCCGTCAAAAGTTCAGTTGTCACGTAACCGGACGCCATCACGGGTAGAGAAGGCCGCCTTAACAGTGATCCAGTTCCCCCCCCCAACCCCCCCCCC